GTGTGTGGAGTTATGTGGATGTTGTAATATGTTTCAGAATACTTACCACCATATTTTCTTTACCGTATTCAATCAGTACAGATGTGGATTTATTTTTTGACCTTGATTTCTGTAATCTGCTACTTCTGTTCATTCTAACTGGTTACCAGAGTCTTGTTTGTATTTAGTGTGAGATTTTAGCGGGTTCTTGGACCAGATTTAGTCACTTCATTATCCGGATCCCCCAGGTCCATTTTTATTGTCCTTAGGTTTCAACCACATCAAAGTGTCATAACCTGCCATGTGTCTATCATTTTTATTAAACTCTAGACATTGGGTAGAAAATAGAGAAAATTTGAGGCCTAGTGTGAGATTAACTTGCTGCAGAGAAGGTGGGCATTACAGCTGGCAGGTGGTCAGGGCGCCAGCGGCGCTGCATCCTGTTAATCCAGTTAGCAGCTGAGATCAGTCAGTGCAGCCAGCCCTCCTGAGGCCCGTGTGTCTCCTGTCCACCTTTGTTCCTGGCACGTAGCTCTCGTGGATCCCAGCTAAGGCCTTCGCTGACGGGCCGTGAGCTCCAGCTGTCTGACTGCGGTGCCCGTGCGTGGGGGGCACCAGCTGCTGGGCTGCTCTGCATCTCAGTGGTTTCCTCTGCAGTTAGCGGGTGACCCCCGGGGAAGGTGGACCCAGTCCTGGGCTTCCTTTTTCTCCATCTTGGCCTCATGTTCCTTCCTGGCTTGTTAGCAATTTGGTACATTCAATCATGGATTTCATAATTTGTCCAGAGTTTCCTGTCATTCTCAAGAGGAGGTCATGGACATCACACCCATTAACCTGCTTTCAAAAACATACGTTTCCTTATATTTTCTAAAGGATCAGGTTTTGCCCCAGGCTTTGATTGAAATCAGGGTTCTCTGTGGGAGAAATCAAACAAGTCATGAACGCTTGCTTTACCCTAATGTGTTTGGTTGTGATGACTTGGTCAGACCCTGATTCCCACGTTGAAACACAATGAGCTCGCGCTGTCCCCGTCACAGGAGCCTGAGCCTGGGGTGCGGGGCACAGAGCGCATCTTACGTGGGCTTTTCATGTGTGTTTACTTTATGCACAAATGAGTAGGGATGGGGGCGCTGAAGGGAAGCCCAGATACCAAACACTTGCCAGAGGCCCAAGTGTCATGTTTTCATATCTACTAGTGGGGGCCTTTAATTTTTTCTTCTGTATCTGTCAGTCTGAGCATTTATGGGGAAGGGCAGAAGGAACATTGAATTCTTCCCTTCCAATTTCTGGGAGGGAAACTGGCAGAATTTCACAGAGTTTCTTTCCCCTCTCAGGAAGGTGGACATGAACGGATGTGAGCTGGTGGGAAAGCAGCAGCTGTTGGCAGCAGACGAGAGGGCGAAGTTGGCTGAAGAGAAGACACAACTGTACAAGTGAGTTCAGCTCCTCCACACCCGCGGCTCTGAAAACCCCTGTTGGATTTTTTGAAAACTTTTCTAAAATGTTTAGACGCAGTATCATACACAGACCCAAACAAAAGACATTTGTATACATGCTTCACACAGAAGAAAAAGTGTTAAGTTTTACACATGTTAAGTTAAAGGTTTAACTTTAAAAAGTATTAAGTTACTAAGAATTTCCTGGTCCCCAGTGCTGGCCAGACTGAGTGGAAGGACGGTTCACAGAGATGTTTCTGAAGGTGCTATAAACCGTTCTCACCCTGAGGACAGCAGTTTGGTATAGTGTCAGTCGCACCAGTAGACATGCCCGTGCCGCTGGGGAGACCCACTTGTAAGAAGTAGGGTCAGGATGTAAGGAAAGGAGGAATCAAGCTTTGTGATGAAAGATGCTCAGCACAGGACACGTGAGGGAAATGCTGAGAACGGGAGGGGGAACTGTGTCCTGTCCGCACAGGACCCGGCAGGCGTTCAGTGACAGTGACGGGAGGGGTGGCTGCGGCGACAGTTTTGTACCTGCTGTGCTTCTGCAGCCGTGTGCAGTGTGCCGTGAGCGGTGAGATGATGTGTGTGAGTGTGCAGTGCATATAACGTGGGCTGGGGCAGGTTATTTAACAGCATACCCAGCATTGTGTCTTCTCTTATGGAACAATTTGTAACTCATAGGCTAAGGCTTGAAGAATGTCACGGGCAAATGCGGGAAGCAGAGATCACTTGGAGACACCAGGTAACCTGCCTTCCTCCTGACACACCGAGTCCTCAGCACCTGATGCAGACGGTTACTGTGGCCCTGAGAACCCCTTGCCATGGGGTGTTTCCTGATGTGTTGACTTTTTCAGGTTGCTCTTGCCGAGAAGAAGGCCCAAGACAGCTTGGTAAGAATTTGTTTCCTTCCTTCCCTTTGTGCACAGTCGGCCACAACTGAACATGGATGTGTTTTTCTCCCACAGCTCAGGGCTCAGGAGCTGGAGAGGGAAAACTCTGAGCTAAGAAGGGAAAATTCTCAGCTCAGAAGAGAAAATTCTCAGCTCAGAAGGGAAAATTCTGAGCTGAGGAGGGAAGACGATGAGTTGCAAAGGGAAGTTGCCCACCTGAAACAGAGGTACAGAATTTTTATGAGTGTTTTGAGATTTTTAAGGACTGGTGGTTTTGTACCTAGTAGAGGAATTGGTGGTGTAATTTGTATTGAAGCCATTCTTTATCTTTAAGATTGGATGCAACCTGCAGACGGAGGCAGGTAGAGGAATACATGAGGCAGGAGCCCACCCCAGGAGGACCACACAGGCTGCACCCTCCCCTGAGAGGTAAGGAGCGCACTGTGAAGTGCGGCAGCTCCATTTCTGCAGCAGGAGCCGCCCAGTGGGCTACTTGTCCCTGTGGGTAGTCGTCGGGTTTCCTGGACACCACACCACACACTCACTGCAGGGAACAGGTTCACAGCTGGGTGACAAGATGCTGTTTTCTTCACATGCCACCAGCCAGCAGGGCTCTGTCCCCTGTGAGTGGTGGAGCTCACGCCCCTCCAGGGACTGCGGGCCGCCCCCCAGGCTCTTGGTTGGCTGGCGTGGCTGGTTTCTGTGCGCTAGAAGATGTGAGCCTCAGCCCCCTCTTCCCGCCTGGACATGGTGTTGAAGGCTGAATTTTCTTCTCATTTCAGGAAAATAACATGGACGACGTTTTAGAATGAAAGCAGTATGTCATAAAGAGAAAAACATTTTTCTTCATTTGCCTTGGTGGATAAATATTCTATTCAAGACCTGCTTTAAGGCAGCAGGCATTTCTTCACTAAATTTGCAGGTCCCTTCGTTCTTATAAAAAACCTTGCACAGTGACCTAGAGTAGCCAGTTTAGTGAGTGACATGACTACGTAGCCTCCCTCTCCCAGAGTTAACGTGTAACTCTAAAGTCTTCCACCAGCTTCTCCATGTAACTCACCATTCTTTTGCCGATTATTACAACATAAGTCATTGAGGCCGCTTCTTTCATAAATGTTTACATGACATCTGGTCACTTATACAAGACATGTCCTGTCAGACAGAAGGCTTTTAGCAGTTTACCAACAGGCCAAGGAGGAAAAGGTGGAGCTCACGGTCAGGGGTTGTTGATACTTTTCCTATGAAAGACTCTTCTTTAATGTGTAACCTGTGTACAGACTGATTTTCCCTGAACTGTGCTGTGAGTCCCCTGTGTCAGTGCCGGTTGCCAGGGATCTGAGCCCTGAGCCCCCATCCAGGGTGATTAGCTATGAAAACACCTGAAGCAGGGCTCTGTGGTGTCCTAGTCACGGGTCAGGGGTCCAGTCTTCCCTCATCCTCGGGGCCACCTGAGGCGTGAGGGAGACCCGCGGCCTCTGTGCAGAGCCCAGGGCGTGGACGGGAGTGGGAGCTCCTGGGGGAGGGCACGGAGGGCTTGTGCTTCCCCCGCACGGCCTCTGTCAGAGAGAATCTGCCTTCAGCGCTGCTCTCCCTTTACAGCTTCAGGGCCTGGTGGCGCCCCAGTGAGGAATGGCCCCGCCTTCCCAGCTCAGGAGGCAGAGGAAACCCAGGTAAATAATTTTTTCCAGTTGTGTTCCAGTGGTCATTTTGTGTTGAAATTATCTGTGGAACTACCATTTTCCTTTCGAACAACCCTTTCCTGGCCTTGTCTATGGATTGTGTATTCCGGGATACATACGCCCTGTGATCACAGTGACGTGTGGCGACAGTGTTTTGTCCCCAAGGCCTCTTGTGCAGCCTGGGCCGCAGGCAGGCCCCGGGGCAGGTGGAGTGCGTGGCGCCTAGCTGCCGCCTGGGCACCCAGTGCAGGGGAGGGTGCCCGGTACTGACTGCTGCTGAGTTCGGTTTCAGCTTTTGTCGGTGTTGGTCCTTTGGTCTATCATTCAACACACCTCTCCCTTCTGTTGCACAGGTCACTGTGGAGGCTAGAGAGCCCCCTCCTTTCGCAGGACCAGCTCGCGTGGCCAGCCCCATTAGCTGCCCAGTGCCACCCTTCTGGGGCTATTGGCCACCTCCACCTGGACCAGTCCCGTGGCCTCTGGGGCCTCAGCCACAGCCACCAATGTCTCCACTTGGTAAGATGAGAGCATGTGTTTCTCTTCCCTTGTTGAGTCTTGCAGAACAAGGGGAGATCTCACTCCGGGGCTTTGCAGTGCCTGGGGAAGCCTGGCTGGAGACATGGTGACGTTCGTCTACTTTCTTAGCACGCACGTTTGATGGACCGTGTCACTTCCCCACCCTCACCTGGGAAGCAGGTCTCTTGTAGTGAGGGAAAAAAAGAGCTTTTTGACAGAAGGCAGAAATGTCAGACCTCCACTTAGGCCTCCAGCAGAGAGCACGTACTAGGCTCTGGGAGCGATGAGGCCCGGCTCAGTGTTCTGTCCGGCCGGTCTGAGCCCTGACCTCCCGCAGTCGATGATTCATGGCGGAAACACCTGTACCGGGGGCCCGTGGTCTCTTCCTCAAGGGCCCGGAGCCCAGCCTCCCTGTCGTCTGGCGTGGGAAAGAGTGTAATGCGCTGAACCAGGGCTTGGAAGTTTTGTTCTGCTTGAGCAAAGGCTACGCAGCAGAACGTCATCCTCTGTCCTCTCTGTGGTTTCTGTCAGGTTCTGGACCTGGTGCAGCTCCGGTGAGAAACGATAGCACCTGCCCACCTGCGGCGGCCGTGGAGGCCCAGGTAAATGCCGCGGTCATTCTTTGTTGGAAATCTTTCTGGGAACTTTCACCTTGTTTTTCCCCTGGCGGCCTTTCCTGGCCTCGTCTCCGGAATGTGTGTCCTATGACATGTCTACTGTGTCACTCCTGTCCGAAGTCGAACTCTTGGCCAGGAGCCGTGGGCACACCCCATTTGGGTGGTGACTGCAGAAGCTGTCAGGCGGGGTGCTTAGGGGCTGAGGACTGAAGATTTTGACTGTGTGGGACGGAGACCCCTCGCTCCACACTGACTTCTCGTGGCTCGGCTGACTCCTTCCTGACCTCCTGCACCTGGGGTTGCTCCTGGGTCACTGAGACGGGCTTCTGTGTCGTCATTCTTTTGACTGGTTCCCCGGCTCAGGCCAGGTGATTCTCCAGTTCAGAATGTCCATTCAGATCCCGGTGACTGAAAAGGGGCAAAGCCCGCCCTCCAGCTTTGTACCGTGTGCTGTGTGCAACTCTGAGTCTTCCTGGGTGTGGTAGGTGTCACAGCCCGTCACTTGTCTTTTCTCGGGAGGTAAGTGTGTCTTGGCCGCTGCCTCCAGTGGTACTCTGGGCAGAAAAGCCTGACTCTCGGAGACGGTAGTAGTAGGGGATTTGTAGTAGGGAGTAGTAGCGTTTGTAGCAGGGAGTAGAGGCTGGAAGGGAAAGAGCCCGCCGTGAAAATGCCTCCTTCCCTGCGGGGGGAGTCCGATGCGCACCAGAGTGCGTACGTTGTGTTCCCCACCCTGCGCCGGGTCGGGCCTGCCCTGGAAGCTGTCAGAGCTGCTCGTCGGTCTCATCGCACACCGTGGGGTCTTGCGCACGAGCTAGCACAGTCCCTTTGGTGTCAGGTGTGGGATTGAGACTCCCCACGTCACTGTCCCGTAGGACGCAGGTAGGGTGCGTTCCGTAGCGAACGTAAAATCCAGACGTCCCTGAGGATAGGGATGGTTGTAGCGGAGCCTGAGTCCCTTCTGAGGACAGCCTTGTCCCCTCAGGAGCCCTTGGCCAGCTCCCCCGCAGGACTCCGGGATGCCCAGCTGCCCAGGGCTCTTTGCGCCCAGGGGCAGCCCCTGCGGGGCGGAGGAGGGCCCTGCAGGCAGAGCCGTGACCCAGGTGCGGCTCTGCTTGCTCGTGTGGGGAATGAGCTGTTCACGTCCGTCCTGTCTCCGTGTTCCTGGTCTGCGCCGGGCAAGCTTCCGTGGAGCTGGGGAAGGTGGCGGGGAGGGCCGGCCCGCCCAGAGCGGCTGGCTGTTGGGAAGGTGTGACTTTGTCCGTGTGCTGAAAGCTGTGTGCGCATGCTCTCGGGCAGGACGACCCTTGGCTTCCTCCACTTGGAGACACCGGTGGCGACGTGCGGCGTCAGTGTCCTATCCCCGTGTCCTCCTGTGCGGCCCAGGCTGCGGGCAGGCCCCAGAGGGCTGGGTGGAGCGTGTGGCACCGTGCTGCTGTCTGGGCACCCGGTGGAGGGGAGGGGTGCCCGGTGCCGACAGCTGCTGCGTTGGGTGTCGCCTTTTGTCGGTGTCGGCGCTTCTTGTCTGTCATCCAACCCAGCTCTCCCTTCTGTCCTGCAGGTCACCCTGTGTGGTGGAGGGCCCGAACCTTTCCAAGGACCATGTCACGTGGGCTTCCCCGTGTGCGGCCCCGTGTGCGGCCTGACGTCGCCCAGCGGGGCACCTGCACCTGGGCCCCCTGGGTGCCCTGCACAGCCTCACCCACCACCAGCAGCTGCTCCGCTCGGTAAGAGGAAAGCATATGTCTCTGTTTCTTCCTTGAGTCACTGCAGAAGAAGGGCTGATCGTTCTCCAGGGCTTCCCCTTGCACAGGTGGCCCTGACTGGGCTCACGGCCGTGTCCCTCTGGTCCCTTAGCAGACGCACTTGATGGACCGCATCTTCTGCGTCCTGCCCTGGGGAGGGAGGTGTCTCTTGCAGAGGGAAAGGGGGTCCTCTGACGGAGGGCAGACGTGTCGGTTCTGCACACGGGCCCTCGACAGAGACCACGTTCCAGGCTCCCGGGACGAGAAGCCCGCCCCTGTCATTGTCTGCGGCGAGTGGAGCCCTGACCTTCCACAGCCGATGATTGGTTATGGAAGAAACACCCGAACCCGTGGCCTGTGGTCTCTCCCTCAGGGTCCTGAGACCTGTCTCCCACTCGGTCTGATGTGAGACTTAGTG